GATGTTACTGAGGAGAGGGAAAAACAAAGGATGTTTTTTTTCAAGAATACCTGAGTTGTCTTCCTCTTTAAAGTTCCAGCCTTGCACTCCTAATCCAAGAGTGTGAGTTCACTCCAGCATTAAAGCCTCATTATTCCACTTTATTGATCAAGCCTATTTTTTGTTTGCATAATTTCCTCCATGTAGTTTATTTTCCTTTAGCGCACTTCAAGTAGCTTTTTTTGCTAAAAATAAAAATCCGGTCTCTTCCCCAGGGCCCTCCAGTAGCTTTTGTGTAGCTTTGTATAGCAGCCATGTGGTTTCCTTCTGATTGCCCTCAGAGCCCCAGATACCATAAATACTTGGCCTTATGAAGTCATGACCCATCAGCAACCCAGCAGTGCCTGTTCATAAAAGCCTCAAGTCTGAGGCTGGTGAATAGCACTGCTCAATAGCTGAACACTCTGAAGAGAGCCAAAAAGTTTCCTTTGGTCCCTTCAGAAAATAAAACACTTGTTTCCCATGCCTAGGAGGAAGTGTAATAGTTGTTACTCAAACTTTGAATTCTTCTGGGTTCTGTTTTTGCTGTCCTCCTAAATTCTTAATTCTCATTAAGAACACAGGTTACACTATTATTTAAATTCCTTTGTGCTTTGATAAAAGATCAAATAGGTAATTTTAAGACTTTTATCCATTCTTCTGGCTTCAAGCTGAAAGCATGCACAAGCTGATAAAGCCTTCTGTGATTAAGCGAGCTTGCACTGGCATTTGATTGCATTGCATTGTTTCCCAAATTCTGGCTTTTTGCATCTGTGTCACTGTTGACATTTAATTTGTCCTGTAGTGTGTTAGTACACTTAACCTCTTTTCACAGAGTTCCAAGATGGAAAGGTTTTCTCTGCATTCGTACAAATAATTCAGTCCTTTAAGACTTTGAGGGAAAGGGGAGAGTTCTGTGATTTGCAGGTACCTTTGCAGGTGAATGGGCAGCTATTTATTTCAGATGCCAAAGAGAACTGAGTGCAGGATACAAAAGTGTTCTTCATGGATTTCAGCCAGTGTTTGAGAAGTTACATCATTAGTGACTGAAATATGTACAGATACATAATTCACTGATACATGTCTGTTGTTTGTGGATGCAACCACTAGAAACCAAAGGCAAAGCATTTATAGAAGTCACACTGGGGCTTTGGCCTTCTTCACGTTCTGTTTGCACGTATTTGTACATTATGTACATACAGGTGTGGCACAGACTGTCCATCTGCCATCTCATTTCTCTCTCAGCTGCAGAATCCCCTCATAGCCAAATACTGGAAGGAGAGGAGGAAATTCATTTACAGGGGGACTCTGTACTTTAAAGAATTCTATCCTTCCTCTTAGTGATAATCCACATGCACATTAGCACTGTTGTGAGTTCCAAGCAAGTAACTCTAAGAAGTTACAGGTAATTTGAAGGGAAATCTTGCTGTCTTTCAGATAGAGGCTGGAGGGTTGATCCAATAAGCGTGGTATGGTAGTTGGTGATGGTATGAATAATTGTGAGCAATTGCTGAGTGGATGTCGGGGGTGGAGATTTTTTCAGCAAGGTGATCTTAGGAGCTCTGGTAGAGGGTTCTCCCTCGAGGGTTTCATAGCAAGCATCAAGCTCACTGTCTGTTTTACAGCTTCTGTATTGAAGTGGATGTTTCTTTAGACCCTTCAGCTACTGATGGGACAAGGCATTTGATACCATGAACACAGAAAAGGAGCTCTCTTGAACTGAAATCCTAACATGCTAGAGGTGGCATGACGAGTCAGCCAGATGATATTAATGGTTGGGTAGGATGGCTTGAGAAGAAAGGCTCTGCGTAGGGTAGGTCTGCAGAGACCTTGTACTGGACCATACTGACCAATCTCTTTGTGGAATGGCCAAGATCAGAACTGTTGGTAAAGAGTAGGAGTCTCCCAGACTAAGCCTCTGCAAGAGTCAGGGCCCACGCTGTGGCTCTGGCCAGAGGTGGCCTGGCTATATCCACATGGCTTCCTCTGGTCCCCTCAAAGCAACTAGCCTCGTCCGCACCCTCTTCTGGGAACAGTTTCTCGTGTGTATCCTTCCCGGAACCAAGACAGGTCTGGAAAAATACTGGAAGTTGTTTTAAGTTGCCTCTGGCAGAGAGTGCACCACCTGCCCTACTCACAGAGGGCGAGTGAGGATAGCTGGGAAACAAACGTGTGCTTTCGAAGGGTGCCCAGGAATACAGTCCACATATGAGTGTAATTCTAAAACAGAAGCAAAAATTAAAGCTAAAACTGTGTTAAACCATCGCCTATTTTTTTAACCTTGACTAAACTCTCAATTAAAACATTATAATTTTGCCAAGGAATACTTTTCTCCTGTAAATAAATCTGAAGTATTCTTTTGTAAGAGGGAGAATCAAAACAGGTGGAAAACTGAAAGAGCTGTTGCAGTGTTCCAGAGTAACTTTTATTTGCCGCACGGTTGCAGGATGTGTTACATAGGCATGCTCTCTATTTAATTGTACGGATGGTCTGCTATGATGATGGTCTGGGAGCAGGAAAAAGTTTACTGGCTTTGAAGACAACAGATGCAGCCTCTGAAGAATGCAGCCTCTGGGTATATCAGTGCAATAGTTTGGTAAGACTTTATGTTTACAGTATTTAATTTAGGTATCAGTATTTTGATTGTAAAGGGAGATTCTAAGACCTAAAGCCCTTGTGAAGGCTTTTTGGCAGGAGGGGGATTGCTTAACTAAAAAAGAGTATAAATGTGCCCTGGCTGACAAGGGGAGAAAATCCCCCCTGACTGCATTTCATCAGCTTTGAGGAAAAATACCTATGTTCCCTAAAACTGCCAGTGAAAACTGGCCTGAGGACAAAGCTCTTTGGAATTAAAGTGCTATCATAGCTGCTAAGGACAATCCTCTGTATTTTCAAAGACAAAAACCTCTTAAAGACTGAACAGAGCAGGGAGAGATTGAGTAACAATTCTGGAAATAGAGCATGCATGCATATTTATAAGCAAGGGAAGTGATCCCTTAGAAGTAGGAGAATTCATTGTCAGGATGCTATGACATGACACACACCCTTGGCAGCACTGGGGGAACACATGAACTGACTTTCTGAATGCTAGTGTCTTGCTATGATGAAAGCTAACAACTCTGACTTGTTTCCAAAGAGCTCATTTAAAACAGCTTCCCACAAGTCATTGCAGACCACAGAAATCAAATTAAATCTCACTTGTGCTACTCCATTTCGCATGTCTCTGCCAAAAGAATGATAAAGGTCACATTCTGCTTTAAATGAGTTTTGAGACGTTCAGAAATTCTTCAGAAAGCGTTAATGTGCATCTTTGGGTTTTGTTTTTTTAGGAACAAGCACAAGCTATTTGCAAAGTGTTATCTACAGCTTTTGATTCAGTTTTAATGTCGGAGAAGTCCTGATTTTCTTTGTCAGCACATGACTGAACAGCACAGGAGGCCCTTGTGTGGGGAGGAAACGGGGCTCCGCTGCGATACCACGGACTGGCTGTAGTACACACAAACCTAGGAAAGACTTGCTATGCAAAGAAGAGCCATGCGACCTCGCACATGGTACTTTGTCATTCCCCAGACATGACTTGAATAATTCCATCTTCAGTTTCCAGGACAATACAGAATTTTATATTTAACAAGATTTTTTTTTTTCCTAATTGTTTTGTATATTAATGTCAATATTGTAGAAATGTAAAATAAAACTGATGCTTCTGTCTCTTTGTCTGAAAAACAATTTGTTAATGTAGACTTCACTTCTAGATATTAGAACAAAACAACAAGAGCAAAGTGATAATAGGTACTCGCTCGGTGCTTTACACCTTCAGTTTAATCTTAGGATGCCAACTCCACAGTTTCTACATGCAACTAAAAATCCACACGATACACAGTTTTTTCTCAAGTGCTACCACACTGACGAGAAGAGGATTGCCTCAGCAATGCAGAGTAACAGATGAGAAGTAGCCAAAGTGATTTTAAAAGTAGTTTTATTTTTCCAGACATTTGACTGGTTAACAAGAGTAAAATTTATTAATCATGCTCTAATTATAAATCACTGCATCCAGGACATTGAAAATAAGAGTTGATTTTAGGTTATACAATATATACAGTTGCTCTGCAACTAAACAAAATAAAAACAACTGAATTGAATATTATACATCTCATAGCATTCTAAGCTGCATTTTAAGTGTCACTTGCTCCTTTTTAAACAGTTAACACAGCAACCTAATAGTCTGTCTATTAACAGGGTTTTTTAATCATTATTTTAATCAGATTTGAAAAGTTGTATGAAATATGCCAAAATTTTGGACTTAAAATTCTTAATATTATATTATAAATAGATATCTACAGGCTCTAGAATTTCTTTTTCCTCTGCCAGAGGAGCAAACTTCGAGAAACATTGAAAATCTAGGGATAAATTTTGCTTAGCTGCTCTTTATTGGTCCTCGAGATTTTATCTGTCTGCACTATTCGTGCTAGTAAGTTGTATTCTACAAGTTTCCTAGTTTCTAAGTGACCAGTGAACAAGACTGTGACATTTTAAAGTGTATTCCTCTTCTAGTGGAACTCAAGGAAAATTTGCATCGTCGTTTAACTTTACGAGTTGTTACACTATAAGATTCTGTGTTAAAAATACTGTACATCAGGAGATCTGTGCAAAATAATATGCCCATTTACTCTCTAGACTCTATCAGGGATAGAAACATACAAAATAGTGTTGCAAACTGAACATAATCAGTAAGTGAATAAAACTAGTGCTAAACTATTACTCTATTGTCTTACTGGGAACTTAGAAAATACAGACTAATTCGCTTCAACTTGCAACAAAAATATCTTGAAACGTTCCAGTTTGTTCCCCATTTATACTGAGCAACAGCATCTAGAAAAATGAAAGTCATGCGTATGCTTGGCTGTACCCACACATCGGAGAGGCTATCAACCAACTGTACCATTCAGGGGAGGCGATACAAGGCAAGATCAGTGTTGCTACTTCCAGCACTAACACAAGGGGATTTTTCTCCAAATAAGCGTGTATGGTGGTGGCCTATTTTCCATTCTGTTCAATACGACATGGCCAATTTAAACACCATTTGTCAGAAATTCAAAGTTCTCTTGATAAATCTAGAGATACAATATTCACGAAACGTGATCAAAGCCAATGTGACCTAGACATTGATTTTTCTTACCCTATGCCAGCAGTTGTTTCCTGTAGCATAAGCAAAAACTGGTACAATTTCACAATATACAAACATCAAAATGATGCCAGATTTGTATTGGTGTTTCGTATTCCATCAACCAACTGGGAAGCATCCATGGCCTAGCTTCTGTTCACAAATTAGTAAAACAAATTTAACAACAGTGTAGCTACCATATATGTGGGTATATTCTATAAATACAGAGTGAGTTAGCAAACTCACTGTTTGCAAGGTAGTGGCACACAAATTTTGTAGAACAGAACAGAACAGAACGTAGTGTACTTGTGAAGTGACGGATACCTTATTGACCAAGGATAATTCTCTAAGTTGTCCACCAAGTATGTTCTCTCTGTGAACACATTGCTGGATGATTTAAGAAAATTCAAGAATTTAAAAACCAAGTCTAAACACTAGAATAAAGACAAGTGTAAAGAAATGCTCTGCAATCCATCATCATAGTCGAGTACATGTCAGGAAGTGCAGTTTTCATATCCTTGAGTTAATGTAGTAACTCATTAATATTGCCATAGTTTAGTTAACCAGCAGTAGTCACATTAAATGACCAAAATGGATGTAATGTACATAAAGAACATTCAAAAAACAGGTTCTACACACGTGCAGCATAGAAAAATGAAACAGTCTCAAGCTCACAAAATTAGAACTAGAAAGTTCAACGACTAACACAGATTTCAGATAACTTTAAGCAAATATCTACATCCATTCTGAAAGAAAGAAGTTTCTCCTGTGGTAAACTGAAATACTTTTTACCTGGCCAAAGACACACGATTAAAATTGTTTTTTCTGTCACTGTTGACATCCTGGATGACAGCCAGTATGGCAAGATGCTGAATGGCTCCAATTTAGAACTACACAGCAGCTTGCATGTTTTGATTCCAACACTCAAATGGTATCGAGAATTGGATAAATTCACTGCCCTGTTAGATGCACACAATTTCTTTGACTGGGGAAGCAACACTGAACTGTGGTATTGTCACGTTACAAAAGGGAGAACAAAATTACAGTGAATTGATTGAAAAGAACACTCATGATGTGATGTTCACGTACTTATATGGGTTTTGATTGTTAAAGCTTTTCAGTTCACCTTAAAAAATACAGGAAGAGGAGTTGTTTTTTTTTAAAGTGTAAACTGTCATGAGAAGTTTTCACATAGAAAAAAGTTTTTAAAGTCCCCAAATCAGAACGATGGCAATAAAAAAGTAAGCTACAGTACCTAGGACTTGGGCAGTGCTCTGGCAAGGTGGCTGCAGATAGGTAGATGAAATGAAATAGAGCAAAACTTGTTTCTGTGACCACTGGAAATGAGAAATGTCTCCACTTATCAGTAGCAATTTAGTCAACAATAAAGTGCACAAATGATACAGGGAAAGCTCCTTTCCGACTGGGATCTCCATCAATATGACCAATCTGAAAAAGTCCAGATATTTTTCAAGTTAATCTCAAAAAAGCATTTCAGTTATCACCAAAATTAGTATCAGTGACCTTCCTGCCTGTAGTATGACAAGCCTCTCCCTACATTTTTTTCTGCAGTGCTGTTCTTTTTCTTTTGTGAACAGGAAATTTTATCAGAAAATTAAGTCCAACAAGGTACATTTGTTATTCATCTAGACATTGTTTTTCAAATTCTGTTTTATTCAGTTCTCTGAAAGTAACACCTCTTAATGCAGTATCACTGCTACATGATTTCAACGCATTCTGCAACGCCCAGCAGCCCATATTCTGCCTGTGTTAAGTCACTCCTGCTTCCCCCTCTTAGCAATCACTGAAAAGTAAAAGGATGGATCAAGCTTCAGCAGTTTTGGGTTTTACACGTATCTGTTTGTGTTTATACAGCATCATTGTCAGTTTAGATGAAATATGAAGTTCTGTTCTTCGCTAGCTTACAATCAGAGCAAGGCAACTGTTTTAATGCATAACAATTTTCCAAGACTTTGCTTTAGCTGATGAGACTCTGGAATCTAAATAGTTGAGATAGCTTCCCAGCTCCAACAGACCATTTCTCAGTCTCAGTCAGATGAAGAATGAGGACAATACAAAGCTGTCTTCTGAGGCCCACCACGCAGCATCTTCAAGGAAGATGAAATAGTAGCAGATTCTTAGACTGCTGACACCCCCTAAGAATTTCCTGAATCAAACAGACCATGTCCTCTGTATTTTGTGAACACTACTAAGGAGATTTTTTTTTTTCCCTGAATGAAAAAAGCCAAAAACTTACCTGAAGTTTGATTTCTCAACAAAAGAAATTTCTGGAAACAGGTTTCCATGAGATTTCTTGTTATTTGGAAACCCAGCAGAGGATCTTCTGAAGCTACTGTCAACCCCTAGGTTTCATTTATTTCTTTCAAAGTATGTTGATGGAAAACGCAAAATACTCACCCACCACTCCTGATCTTCTTCACCATCAACTACAATAATATCTCCCTCCGAAAAAGTTAGCTCATCTGGGTTATCTGCTACACAGTTGTAAATTGCTTTTACTCTCTTGGGTTTAGTTTTTGACTGAAATATAAAAATAAGTTAATGTAAATAATAAAGCATGGAAGAGACAGAATAGACTAGGAGTTGATCTAAATAAAGCTTCAGAACTGCTTCCAACAGTTATTTTTCACAGATTAGAGTTCAGCTACATCTTTTATGCTGGGGACTCATGGTCCAGGCTGAATCTGGCAGCATCCAAAGCCATTCAGAACCACTGTGCCACCAACATGGGCCAGGTTTCCCTTAGCAACCTTGCATTTTGGCTCATCCAAACCTCTCTTCACTCTACATCACTTCAGCAAGTATGATTTTATTCAGAAGATGGGGTGATCAAGATCAAGTGCTATGCAGCAAGTATAACAGCATCAGCATTACCAGAAAGAGGCTGGAGCCACCTGCCAGTACGGCCCTTCTTAATTTGCTAAACCCATTTCACCAGCGTACAAACCCTCTGAAACATCTTCTGCCTCTTGCTAGTGCGTTGAGGACTTGGGTACCAAAAAGGACTGTGGTGGGTTGACCTTAGCTGGATGCCAGGTGCCTAGCAAGTTACCCTATCACTCCCCTCCTCAGCAGGATGGGGAGGGGAGAAAATAAGATGGAAAAAAATAAAAGAATTCATGGATCAAGATAAAGGCAGTTTAACAGAAGCACAAAGCAAAGCCATGCATGTGGAGGCAAAGGAAGAACAAAATATTTATTCTCTACTTCCCATCAGCAGGCGATGTCTGGCCACTTCCCAGGAAGCAGGGCTTTCAGAACTCGTAGTGGTTGCTCTGGAGGACAAATGTCATAAATGCCCCCTCTCCCCCCTCCGTTCTCCTTGCTTTTATTTCTGAGCAGGTGTCATGTGGTATGGAATATCCCTTTGGTCAGTTTGGATCAGCTGTCCTGGCTGTGTCCCCTCCCAAGACCTTCCCCACCCAAGCCTACTGGGGCGGGGGAAATGTTGGAGAGCCAGCCTTGATGCTGTGGAGCACTGCTCGGCAGTAACCAAAACACTGGTGTGTTATCAGCACCTTTCTAGCTACTAATACAAAGCACAGCCACTCTGAGGGCTGCCACGGGGAAAATTCACTCCATCTCAGCCAGACCCAATACAGCCTCAGGAGTGGTTTGGCAACTCTTCCAACAGGAGAGCTTAGCAAGGAGTTGCAATATTCCAATATTGCAGTGGGACTCCAATCCTAGTTGTGTTCTATGTGAAGTGATGCCAAAATTGTTTTGCTCTGGTAACATGGTATCCACCAGCCTAATGTCACACCTCTCCCAGTGCAACCTGCTCTGCTGCTGCATTTGTTTTCAGCCTCCTCATTCTCTGTTGCAGACCAACAATAATGCTGTATCTACATAATGTTTCTATGCAAGGAGTAGAGAGGCATAGGACCTGGAAACAGAGCATAAGCTTTTCACTATGAGTCCACCCTTTTCCCCAGTTGGCCCAGCCACAGCCAGCAAAAATCTCTCCTTTGTACCCTCAGATGCCAGAGCAGAGCTGTAAGTGCCATTTAGGTCGAGACATGTCTGTTAATGCAGTGGGTGTTTCGGACAGAGGCTCCAGATGGGATAAAGAAAAGAAGGTATGAGATACCAGACCCCAGGGACTGGTCCCAGTCTCTAGTTAGGTCAGCCATGGAGCAGGAAGCTTGTGAGGGGAGAAGAGACTCCATCCACAAGGCTACTCTCCACCAGCAAAATGCTCTGCTGTGGACAGTACTGCTCTGCTGTGGACAGTACTGCCCTGCTGTGGACAGTACTGCCCTGCTGTTGCTTCTTAACGTGCCATTTTGTCAGAGCTGAGCTCCATGCAGAAAAAGGGGGATGTGGATGGGGAAGGCAGCATCATTGCTATGCTCTTCTGCAAGCATCCATTTGTACAAAGAACCTGACCTGCCCCGAGCAGGCACAGCCTTAGCCTCTACCTGTGGGACACACCCTGGGAGCTGGCAGCCTTGCACTGCATCAGAGCAGTTTTGCCAGATGCTCCATCTCAGTCAAGTTACAGTCTGAACCACAACCACCTTTTAGGTCAAGAGGGAAAAACTTCACATCAGTACAACAGTGACATAATTACTAACTTCAAAGTGCTGCAGTAATTACAGGTATTTCTTGTTCTTTGGAAGGCAAAGAAATTAAAATAGATCCCATTCCCAGAAGACTAAAATCTTCCAGGAAAGTTTCCCATGTATCTAAAATATACATAAAAAAAACACATCAGGAATTTCCATCTGAAAAATAGGTTATTGGGCAAATGCACCATACAGGAGGTAAGCCACTGGCTACATGTGCATGTACAACTAGACCTTTCTCTTCTTTATTCAAGGAGCACCTCTGCAATCATTTCCTAAATCTGGATTCTCTGGCAGGGTAAAGACTCAGCAAAAAAGGCTGGAGTATAAGGCTAAATGGAGTGATTTAGCCAAAGTACTTTAGCTAGACTGATCTAGCTAAAGCTCTTTAGCTGAGGGGCCCTTGACTACATCTCAGCTAAGATGCTTTAGCTAGATTGATTTAGCTAAAGCACCTTAACTAGCACGCACTCTCTGAGCCAGGCTTCCCTTACTTCTCTGTCCTATGACAAGAAGAAAATAATCCAGCTGATTTTCTCAATCTCACAAAATTCACCCTACTGAAGCCCTAGAAACATCTGGAGAGTCAGATTTGTTCTTTGTATTTTGTGCACTGTGACTGTTCTGTAAAACCAGCCAGGATACCCCATAAGTAAAGCAATTGTTCTAGAAAACAAAGAATGAGAGAACAATACAGAGAACTACTACAACCTTAATTTATACAGAAAGACAGGTGAGGAGCTGTTTCAGAACTGACAGATGCATTGAAAGACTGTATCCAGTGCTCACACCTCAATCCAAGAACACACAGCAGAAACTGTGATCAGGGTCCAACAGCTTTAGAGTAAATACAGCAATTCCCTTGGCACATGAAAGCTAAAGGGATAGATATTCCATTTTACACTAATCAGACTAATTTAATTTTATTGTGGCCTAAACCACGAAAGTTATTCTGATTCAAGACAGACAGTAACTTGGTTAAACAAGAGTGGGAGAGGCAAGAAAATGGAAGATTTTATACTCTCAACTAATTCAAGATGAACTCTAGATGTCTCTGTGGCTTTTCAGCATTATCAGATGAGAAACAGCTAACAGGAGTTCTAAGAGCTCCAGAAAAACGTGCACAGCTATGCACACAAACACACTGAAATCTGTCCTGGCGAGTTACTACAGTAGACATGGTTAAGGAAAAATGGATGAAGGGAGAGAGGCAGAGGACTGAAGAAGCCAGGTCTTTTTGCTACAGCCCATTAACAAGACAACCACAGACACAGGAACAGCATGTCTCCCACCTCCTGGTTCATTATTTACCTAGTGAACCACATTCAGACACAGAATGTAAAGCTTGAAACAGCCCCGACCTAGTCACATACAGCATCTCAGAAAGTAGGGACTCTACACTGTGATTTGCTCACTGCAGAGAAATACTGTCATGATCAAGCCTATGGATGTTTTATGTCTATCACGTAAGAGAGCAATATAAAATCTGAGCAAGGACCAAAGACCCAGCTGAGCTACATGTAACTTAACAACTCAACTGCCACCTGGAAATACATCCCTTTGCCTACACCAGCATAAGAATACAGACATTGACACCAATGTGTGTGTTACCATTCAGGGTCCTAGATTATAAATAAAAACAAATAGAGTATAGAAAAGCCACACAAATCAGATCAAGAGTCCATGTAAATCCAGTATCTCTTTTTTAACAGTCACTGTAGGGCAAGGGGAGGCTGGAGAAGAAGAATATTCAATACTTCCAGCCCGACACTTCCAGCCTTCTTTTCTTTGGTTTCTCTTTGGGTTTTGTTGGTGGGCTTTTTTTTTTTTTTTTAATTTAAAATCACATACTATCATACAGGAAGTGCAAGAAAAGAAAAGGTTTAATAAATATTTAGTAAAGTCATGCACATGTTCAACACAGGACACAGGCTTTGTATTTTTCATGATTCTCACACCTTCTCCATAACATGATACACTACTATGGCAACAGCATGTTCGATAGAGAGACGGAGATTTAATAAAATCAAAACCCAGATTATCTACTTACTATTTGTGATTTCCTTGGCATTGGTGCTGGTGGCTGGATTTGTGCCAAAGTGTTTGTTGTAGAACCAGTTTGTGTTACTGGAATTTCGCATACAGACTCTCCTGTTGCTAAGGTGAGTAAAATAAGTAAATTTTAGGCATGCTTTAAAAAAAAGTAAGAGTGATGATACAAACTGAAACCAAATAAATTATTCTTTAAAGGACACAAATAATTTTATATTCCATGAGTATTTAATTTTTAATGGTTCTTTCTAAATAACTGAACAGAATTTTTCTGTCTTTTTCTTCACCAAAAAGGCCTCTTTTTCCAAAGACAATTACCTAAGGCCTTTAACGCTGCAGATATGCCAAAAGAGAAAAAAGCCCATAAAACAGATGAAAGCAGAACCAAATAACCCATTTCCCCATTCGTTCACTGCAGACTACATGCTTTTAGAACCTTTCTTTCCTAGTAAAGACCATCATTATCAACATGCTCTGTCTTTCACAGGAGACTCCTGACACTGATGGCCTATAGTCATTAGCAAATTCCTCTTGGGTAGGTCAAGGGGAAATAAAAAAGAATCACAGTAAGAACCAATGAACATAATATAGACAGTGGAAGGGGAAACTGCACAGGAGAAATTCCACTACAGCCACCACAGAATCAGCATAAACTTTGCTTTGGACATTTTATTGAGGTGACATTATTGTAACGTCCCAAAGTAGCAGTTGCTTTGAGCAATGAAAAGAGCAGAATGAATAATGAACTGTTAATTATCATGAAAAGAGCAATAGCTATTTGCAATTTAGCTAAAAGTGACACTAATGAGCTTTAGATTTTCCAACTACAAACACGTTTTTCTTTTCTAAAATGTTTATCTGTTACCTTGTTTATGACACATGCAAACAAGAGAGTAACCTAACTGAAGTTTTCATAATGCATCCTTTGTTTGAGTGGGGTCGAGGTGAGGTTAGTTAAGCTAAAGCCCAGCTGGAACTGAATCTGGCAAGGGATGCCAAGGAAAACAAGAAGGCTTCTGTAAACACATAGATAACAAAAGGAAAATTAGGGAAATGTGGGCCCATTGCTCACGAGATGGGGGATCCAGTTACACAGGACATGGAAAGGGCTGAGATACTGAATCCCTTCTTTGCCTAGCAAGACTGGTCTTCAGGAATCCCAGGTCCCAAAAACCAGGGGAAAGTCTGGAGCAAGGAAGTGCAAAGTCCTGCACCTGGAGATGAACAAGTCCATGCACCAATATATGCAGGACCAGAGGCAATGGTGAAGCAGAATGCAAACTGAAACACAGGAGGTGCTGTCTGAACATCAGGAACACTTTGTTACTGTGAGGGTGACTGAGCTCTGGCACAGGTTGCCCAGGGAGGCTGTGGAGTCTCTATCCTTGGGGACATTCAAAAGCCATCTGGAGGTGGTCTTAGGCACTTAGCTCAGGGTGGCCCTGCTTGAGCAGAGGGGTTGGGCCAGATAACCTTCACAGGTCACTCCCAACCTCAACCATTCTGTGATTCTGTTTCTTATTAACTGGCTCCATTATTTACATAAATTAGCTCATAGCTCTGTTCATGCAGAATAGCTTGAGGAATCAGGCCCTACACAATCAAGGAAAGAAACAACAGGAATGCTGGTACTGACTGTATTTAAATGAGTAAAGTAAATTTTAATAAAACACTCTTCCTTAGACTGTTATAATGATAGCTTAATTACAATTAAATAAATCTCTAAACCACAATTACCAGTCTGTTGTAGAGACCCAAGCCCTCTGGACTGCCCTTTGTTAGTTAAGCCAGATGACTTCTCAGTCCTATGAAGAAAGTCAGAAATTCATCCATTTAAGAAACCAACAAAAACTTGAACCCGAACAATACAGAGTATTTTCCAAATTCTAAAATTCTTGTCATGTATTCAGTATAGTCCAGTGACAGCTATTTTGCTTTAAAAGTAGTGGTTTTCTTCCACTTTTTTGATTACATCAATCAGAGGTTACACTTAATTTAAAAGTGTGAGGCAGAAGAATAATATAGGTTCAGTTATTGCAATTTGTGCAGGGCAGATTTTCTTCTCCTAAGTTCTGAAGTTCCTTTCACTGCTGTTTTAAAACTCTTTGTTAAAATTATGTATCCATACTAATCTACATTATAGCAAGCTTCAGCAAGTCACTTTCTCCCTTTTACTTAGTACGGTATATGCAATCAAAGAACTAGAAAGGGAGCTCAAAGATCAAAGGTTGTTTAACTCTTTCATTCACAAAGGATCAACCATGTATATTATTTATCTCACATATATACATACACATCCCTGTATCTTATAACTAAGTTTGTATAGGCTGTACTTTGCCAAATTTTCAGTGTTAGAGAATCCAAAAACTTCCCAGTTTACTAGGATATTTCCCAGTGCTTACTTTTGGAAAGTTTTCCCTAGTGTCTAACTAAATTATTCTTGCCACAATTTTAACAGAAGTCTTCTTTTTTAGAGCCACCATGAGATGTAAAAAGGAACGGCATAATCCAACACTTTGTACATATTTGAAGACATGTATCTATGCTACAATTTATTTAAAAAAAAAAAATAGAAGAGAATCTTTTTCTTTCATACTTTTCTCACAGGTCATATTTTCTAGACTTTTTATTCCTTTATCAATCTTCTGTGGTTGCTGCCTCACTATTTTGTATCTTTATTTTACTGCAATACCCCAAACTGAACACAGTAGTCCAGCTGAGGCATTACTGATGTTAAGTCGATTGGAAGGATTAATTCATAGTTTGCAGGCTACAATCAAACAATACTATTTCTCTTTGACTCTTCCACAACAACAGCATGAGTCGTCTGATTTACTTTTATTTATGATTCACTATGTCCTTGCAGATCTTTCTCTTAAGGACTTGTGCTTAACCATACTCCACTGTTCTCCATGCTTCACTTTTGTAGTTGATTGTTCTTAAGAACTAAGTGTTGTTACTGAATGACATCCCTCTTCTCCCTTGTCTACAACTCCGCATTCTCAAGGCTGCTTTGGATATAATCCTGTTTTCTAGCACCCTTGTCCCTCCTAACTTTATTTCCTGCAAATTTTAAAAATGATATTTTCTACTCCAGATTGATCTACTTCTGCCATGAATTAAAATACTGAATGAAACTGAACCTTCGCAAAACATGTGAACAATAAATGGCACAATCAGACATAAGATCCCATTATCTCTTCTTTGTTATTAGATGAGAATTATAAATGGAATATTCTTTGTGGCTTCTTATTTCCATCACGGCTAAGCATTCTGTAGATATTATGCAAGCCATTCAATCTTAAAACACTAGGCTGTCTTGTTATTACTGTGGGAATCCTTGTAATCTGCTCCCTTAGTGTGTGCCTTCTGTTCATTCCCATACTCCAGAACACATCACTGGCAAGAGTATGCATGCTTTACATATGACTTGCACATTATATACCATAAAATTGAAAAATTACTAATAATTATGAAGTGTATTAAAAACTAAAATGACATCAGTTACCCAGGAATAGGCTTTCTTTGAGAGATTCTACTAGGAGGTTGTGGGGGCAGTGGTGGTGGGGTTGGCTTAGTTTGTGGAGGAGCTGGTTGCTGTTTAGATTGCTGGTTCAAAGCTTCTATGATGCTGGCTGTCTTTGCCACCGGAGGTGGTGGTGCTGGAGAAAGCACATCTATAGAAGAAAGTTAAGACAATGAAATGGAATTAAATTTCTATTTACCATTTTGATTCTTGGGTTCTCATCCACAGGTTTTCCTGTTATAGGGTTTGCCCCCATCCAAGAAAAATGCTTTACTACATGTAAACAACAGCTTAAGCAGAATGCAATCTTTCCATTGGAAGGAAGACCTCTTTGGAAAGAGGCTTACCTTTTGTTTCACCTAGTCAAGGTCAGAGAGCTCACAAGTAATTAAATTCATTCAAGCATTAAAATACAAAGAAAATTCTTACCAAAGTCAGTCATATTCTTCAAAATAGAAGATCAGAATATACTTAATAAAGTGCTAATACTGTTTGCTCAATCAAGGCCTTCAGTTTGTATTTTATGGAAAAGTAACTGAATGAATAATACCAGAGAAATTTTATTTAGTGGAATGTCTTTTCTTAAAATCCTGTTACGATTAACATCTAACTAACTTCACATTAGCTTTAGCAATTAATTAAAATTTCTATTGAATTCTTGAAACCACCACAACAGCAGCTGGCAATGCATTAAAACATCTTTTTGCATTCCTACGGTCTGCAAGAATCAAGCACAATGTGGAGACATAGCCCCAGGCCTACATGTAATACTAATTTTTACAGCTAGTGAGAAATGCAACATTGAAGCTATAAATAAAAGTGAAGAGCTCTTTAGCTCTAGTAATAAATAATTTCCTGTTGATCCTACACTACACCATACAGTCCTCGCTGGAACATCAGAGAAGACAGTTCATACAAAGTTACTGGATGGGAATGATAGGCCAAAGCTACAGTCACCAAAAGAGGAAGTATGAGTTGTGGAAATGGAAAAATAAGTCAACTGTGATTAGATACAGCAGAAGGGAAAACGGGAAAGTGGAAACATACTTGTAGATGTTACACGCAATGGCGGCACAGGGGGATGAATAGCTGGTGGATCTGATGAAGACCTCTGCCTGCTTATACTTTCCACTCCTAAAGAATTTGTCTTCCACATTGCATTAGATGAAGAAATTGTCTGAATACCACTGCCAAGAACTGAAGGCTGAACTAAAAAGAGAGGAAAATACTGTATTATTATTATTGCTTACCCTAAGCACTAAGTGTTCATATTCACACCCGTGCTTTTAAAAATGGTGCAGCTAGACCACTAGATTCAGCAATAGAGCCACTGGCACCCTGCTGGAATGCCAGAGCAGAAATCAGAGTCTGGTGTAAAAAACTACATAGAAGTTTCCAGGTGAAGTCTTACTAACTCTTTACCTCAGTAAAATTTGTCTCTAGTCATTATTTTAAAATACAACAACACTTGAAAGCAGAAATTTCTCAACCAGAAGACAGAAGGCAAGTCTTGCTGCCCTCTTTAATCCCTGACTGACAGCTGTAATCTTCTCAGGTACTGCAAAAAAAGGACCTCACTCTTGCATGAATATTAGCAGACATTGCTGACTCAAAGTGAAACATCAGTTTTGACTTGGAATTGACATAAAACTGTAATTCTGAATTTCACCCAAACAAGAAGTTGTAATAACTTCTTATGAAACAAAGTACAACCTCTTTGAGGCCTTTTAAATGACTCCATTCTTAGGCTGAAGAGCTGCCTCCCCATTTGATAAAAGCACACTACAGGTTTTCTTGACAAAGCCAATATTTTGCACATATCATGCCACTTCTCCCTACTCAGCACATAAGCATCATATTAAGAAAAGATGAAACAGAATAGGGTATGAATAAATATTAGGTTGCAGGGAAAAGCATAAAAGGCTCAGAAGACTTGGAGAACAGCCTAAAGCTAAGAAGATAAAGAAGTAAATACACCGTGAGCATAACATCAACAACATCGGCATCAACAAGAAGCTAAGATCAATTATACTATTATAGCTTTTAACTAAGAATATAAAATAATAGGCTAATATATTGCTACAGTAAAGAGTACGAGCTAATAATCTAAGCCAGGCAGCACGCTTTCTTGGCATGAATTGTCCTGTACCGGTGCCAAGAAGTCTGGGGTTGGGAATTAAATTAAAATGGCACTCCGAAAAGTGTCATTTAATCGAGGGCAAATAGTGGGTAAAAAAGTATGGTTGTCCATGACTAAAATAATATCAAAGGGTAATTTTTAACTATCCAGTTGTATTACTATTTTAGAGATAGAATCTAACAGTTAAACAGACTACGCAAGCTCCTTGGGTGAATTTTCCTGATCGGTGGGGGATACAATCCTTGCAGTCAAGTAAAAAAAAGTGTATAGTTATTAAGCTTAGACTTAATGCAAAAATGTTAGATGAAAGGAATTCCATCTCGGTTAAGCTTTATATGCTGCTACGCTTCCCCAAGTCTCATGACACCCTTTTAAAGTAACCCAATACCACGCTGTTTTACTGTTCTCAGTTTTTCTGCCACCAAAATAACATTTTAATCTGACTTTTGTGCTGCAGCCGTTCCTGTGAGACCAATAACTGACTTTTTGTATTACACAGATGTTCAATTTGCCATCTCAGACACTATCAGTGGTGTATGGAGTCTTGCATTCTGACCTCTGCACAGTGCTCCCAAAGGCAGAAGCCACTCACATAAGCCCAGAAAACTCCCCTGTATATCTTCTTAAGAAGTGTGAATTACAGCATCATAGAAAATCATGTGTTTCTATAGTAATTTTTCTTGAATTGACTTTTACATAAGTTTAGCATCCATGAAAGCTGTTGGATTAATAAAGGTATTAAAACAATGAAATGCACCAAACATGTATTGTACAAAATGGATCTATACAGATTTCTCTATGCTTCTTTAATATGATCCAAGCAGATTATATATGAAGATAAGAATGAAATTCACAGCATTAGATTCAATGGTAGATTTTGCAAGCACACAATCCTTCTGAACCAGGATGAGACGTGCATTTTACGTTGTTCTGATCAGGGTATAACCAATAATTGGCAGCTACATTTTCAGTCAGCTACCAGTTCTCTAAAATCATCCGGCTCTCCACACCATGACTCTTACACTTGTATTTCAACAACCTTGAAGCATATATTTATTGAGAAGACTTTGTGAGGTTAAAATCTTTCACGTTCTGCATACATACTCCATTATCCCAGGTCTTAAACAATTTTCCACAACAGTCAAATGCTTCTGAAATTGTATGTTTAAATTGAACTCTGACAATGACATATTCAAAAAAGAGAGGTATGGAAAGATGGAATATAACAAAAAAAAAAAAAAAAAGAAATGCTGAGCTAAATTGACTGCAGCCTTCCTTTTAATAAATTGTTTAACTCTATCGAGGTTACCTGGGCATTGTTTCCCAAACACTACTGTGTACTTTCTTGCAGGTATACTGAAAATCAAACTCAACAGGTTGTGCAGGTTCAATTCAAGTATATAAAATGAAGTCATCATTAAACTGTTCCAATACTTACCTGTGCAAAATAACTGTAAAAGAAAACCTAAACATGTAATAATAATAATAAAAAGAGCTATGATCCCATTCTTCTGACATACAATGATATTTTCTGGCACAAGTACCTTTGCCAATATTCCTGGGAGGTAGAGGAGGTGCACTACTTGTGACAGGTACTGCAGGCTGAATGGGAGGTGGACTGCTGCTGAGTATTGCTCCGTATGTTTCATTCTGTAAGATACTTGGCATAAATCCTCTTTGCTTATCCTTAGCAATGTTCGCTGCATCTCTTGCCAAGGATGCTACATTAGGCTGAAGTTGGTTTGATCCAATTTGATAGAAGCTGACAGGCCTGTCCTCTCTCCGATTGGGACTGGGTTGCTTGAACACAATAACAAAAATACTCACTGTTACCACATTAGTTGTACTCATTTAATTCATTAGTTGATAGGAAGTGACTAGTTTCTTTTAATACACAATCTAAAACCTATGTTCTGCCCTCTTCAAGACAAAGTAACTGTGCACATTAACCCAAAAAAACATTAAATGTGAATTGCATTTCAAACCAATTACAACTTTTTAATTTTCTCCTGTAGTATACTCCTAGGATAACACTCTATCTTGTAATACACAGGACTATACTCCTGTAGATAGTCAATATAGATATTCAGACTGGATGAAGCAAAGTTTACCTGTATCAAAATACCAGGTAATATTTTCAAAAGTAAATGAACAACCGAAGATCCTAAGCCTCATCTGAAGTTCAGCAGCGTTAGATCGTGATCTCAAAAACCGGACACAATTGCACCTAAGTATTCTACCTATAGCTAAGCCTACAACAAATTGGGAACCAAAACTTCTCATTAACTCTTTTTAGCTCACTAATATTGGTGGACAAGTTTGGGAGATTACTTCAATTGACAGATAGGATGGAGCCTTGCTCATCCCATGCACATTATCAAATGAGATCTAATTAGCTGTCTTTGAGATTTACAGTAAGTCATCTGCTTGCTATGCACACTTAGCATTATTTTTCCTGTTTTAACAGCAAGCATAGTAATTATTGTTATCAAATTATAATTAAAATAGCTGGAGTTATAAATTCATGTGGCTAGTATAGAAATGGGTTGTAACAATCCACAGCTCAGAGAGCATAAATATGCCTTTCGAAATAGTGTTAGATAAACACTTTGCTGATGTACTGTCTGTATGAAATTGAAATAACCATTTCGAGTAATAGCATTTATGTAGAATAAAGATTTACACCCACAGTATCACAAGTGAGCAATTGATTTTCCTCTGAATGTATTCAATGCTTAGTCTGGATTGATCATGTAGGGCCTTTAGACATGTTCTAGCACAGCATCATAGCTCAAAGATTTATCAAATGATGTAAGTGGCAGTCAGATGCATTAATCCCTACCTTTACTCTGGCTTAGTAGCCTCACTCCTCACTGGCTGACACTCTCCATTCCCTGACCTCTCCACTGTCCTGGTTCTGGTATTTGTCTCAGCCCATACTTGCTTCTGCTTTCTAAACCAGCAGAAAAATCTATTTTTTGTTGTTGATTTAGCTTTTCACTGGTTTAACAAACTGAAACAGCTCAATATAGGGACAAATGTGTGCCAGAATGGAGGCAAAAGATGAGGTAGGACCAGGCAGCAGAAACAAGTTGGATTGTCTTAGCCTTCTTTTAGACTCTCTTTTATATGAAAAATTCTGGACTAAAAGAACTTCAATTTCAGACATGACCTTTTCTGATAGAGATTACAAAATCTATTCAATTGCTTTACCAGAGAGACAAGCACAATAGCTTGACATCTATAAACAGAACTCTGATGTGATCCTAAGCAACAGCAATATTCACCAGTGCATTCAATGTAGCCACAGACACTAGTCGGTGATTAACAGTCCTCAACCTCCTTTCTAAAGTCCCTGTAGGATAAGCCTACTCACAGTGGGCTGTGAAGTAGGAGTTTCATTACTTTAGCTTCATTGTTCAGTAGCAGATAACTTCCTATACGAGATGGAGCTCAGGGACTAGCCAAAAAGAGAATGCCCAACTGCAGAAGGCAACTGGCAACAACGAATGAAGTGAGGGAAAAAACAGATCAAAAATACAAATTTAGAGTGTCCCAGAAATGGATTTGCTGGATATCTAGTTGCAAACTACCCAAAAGGTTTTATAGCTGGAAAAAAATGAAATCTCCAAAATACCACAGAAAGTTGCCACCTACTTTATCAACAAGGTCATCATTACTGCTGTTACTATCTGAATCACAGAATCACAGAATGTGATGAGTTGGAAGAGACCCACCAGGATCATGGAGTCCAACTCCTGTCCCTGCACAGGACAATCCCAAGATTCAGACCATGTGTCTGAGGGCCTTGGCCAAATGCTTCTGGAATCTTGTCAGGCTTGGTGCCATGTTGACACAATATACAGGAATACGTAGATACTCAGATATAATATAAAAGCTCATCCAGAAGAACTAGATTTAGTAGCTCACAGACTCCAGATTCTTGCACAGATACCAAAATTCTCTAGAAAAATCTCAAGAATAAGTCTCAGAAGGTAGCAACTGCGCTTTGAAAGGGATGGCTTGTGACATGTTTTTTGCTCTTTGTTGCCAACTAGTTCGAGTCAAGCACCAGAGGCAATAGCTATCTTGGACTAAACAGACAGGACATGGAGAAACAAATCCTATGCAGACAAGATCTTGCAAAAATGGTATTTTGCAACAGAGGAAACTTACTGATGTCAAAATTAGTCTCCAAAACATTAAGCCAATTCAATGGTCTGATGACCTAGCATTTTTAAAGACACCTTGTGAAAGCAAAGAAAATGAACCTATGACTGTCAGGTTTTAAAATTTCTGAAAACAAAGAAAACATGAGATTTGGTTTTACGTTACAATTATGTATTAACAATTCATGCCCTAGCTGAGATGGGGGACTTTGCAGGAGAAGCATTACAATGCTAAAAGTTACAGAAAGAAAAAAGTAAAATTTCATTATCCAGAGGAGAAAGGGGTTTTTGTTTGCTACTTTCAAGAGAAAAAAAAGGTTGTGCTGAAGATTAACTAATACAGAGCCTACTGTATATTCCTTGCACTTTATAAAGGAAGCATAAAAGGCATAAGCAATTATAGCACTGCACTCACAAAAAGAACAAAACCATGTGTTCAATACTTCTAAGGAATACTTCAAATTATTAAAGTTTCAGAACGTCATTAGTATTTAGGAGCCCATGCGTCCCTTCAAATTACTTGGCCCCTAGAAATCCAAGCCATTTCTAAGTGTTGTTCAGGTATCAAAACATGGCAGTTTGTTCCCTGTCTGTATGTTCAGGTGCTTAAACACTTTTTGAAGTTGGCCCCCAAACTGGGAAATTAAATTCTGAAAATGCAGTGAAGTTCCTATGCTACTGGAATACTTTGTACTGCCTGTATTATGACCAACCTTGGAGATATTCAAAAGCCATCTGGGCATGGTCCTGGGCAACTGGCTCTGGATAGCCCTGCTTTAGGAGGGGGAGTTGGACCAGATGACCTCCAGAGGACCCTTCAAGCCTCAGCCATTCTATAATTCTGGACCCAATAGCACCACAACACCAGAAATTTCAGGTATGAAATGGGAAAGAAAACAAATATATTTTTTGAAGATTCAGAATTAAGACCCTACCCTGCTAATAATGGACATGGCTTACTTAATGCACAAGTTCAGTTCCACTGAAGACAAGCCATCAACTGTTCCAAAATTAAAGCCATCGACTGCAGCTATTTAACAAATATGAGGAGATACTATAAAGTGCCTCTTTTTGTAAAAGCAATTTTCCCAGCTCTTGTTAGTTCTGCTTCACGATCAGTAGATCTAAATATTCCTGATGTACTGAAACAAAATAGTGACTCCGTTAAAAAAGGATATCACATCTGGCTAATTGTAACTTGACCATCACCACATAGTCATGTTTTATACCTTATTTTTAATACCTTATATTAAAGAGGAAAAACAAGACAAACTATAATTTAAGGAACTAAAATTTAAGCTACTACATTTTACTGCAGAACTTTATTTCACAGTGTCTTCATACCTAGAGTAAAAAGTAGTACTCTTGAAATCATTATGAACATCATGCTTACACATATATGTGTACAGAAAAAAAATAACATTGACACAAACCTGCAGCTTTTCATCCACATCATCATCACTTTCATCCAGATCTTCATGGAGTAACCGCCATTCATATTCTACATGAACATGAGAATTAAATCTTCCAGACAGTGCTTGAGTAAGCTAAGGAAAAAAAAGATGACTGTTGACATATATGTTATGTGCGGTACAACATATTTAAAACCAAAAAACACATATAGAAGGAACCTTGGTTTCTAAGTCTACTTTTATTTTTAAAACAGATTTCACCAATCTGGAAAGTTATTGCACTGGGTTAAGTTTAAGGAATTAAGCTCTGTGACCAAATACCACACAAATAAATCAAAAGCAACTAGGCTTTTCATTAACCATTGTAGGTCCATTCTCCATTGCAGGTCCATTCTCCATTTTCTGACAATAAGCATCACATCTTATTTGCTTTTATTTAGAAATTGCAAGTCAAAGAAATTAACTGCAATGGCAGTTATTTTGAATCATATGCACTTAACGAGAACTCTTGACTCCACTAATCCATTTTTCTAGCTTACTAAAAGTAGTGATGGTAGCCAACTTCTCTCCATAAAATCACAGGATGGTTTGGGTTGGAATGGACCTTTAAAGATCATCTAGTCCACACCACTGGCCATAGGCCGGAACATCTTACACTAGATCAGGTAAGATGCTGAAGTCCCATTCAACCTGACATTGAGCACTTCCAATGACGGGGCACCCACAACTTCCCTGGGCAACAAGAAAATGGCCTTCATCCATGGCCTTCACCCATATAAAGTACTTTAGTGATTAGACTTCAATGAGATGTTAGACACTTAGAATCAAAGGAGCATTTAGGTTGGAAAGGACTTTAAGATAATTGAGTCCAATTGTAAACCTAGCAGTGCCAAGTCCACCACTAAACCATGTCCCTAAGCACCACATCTACGCATCTTTTAAATACCTCCAGGGATGGTGACTCAACCACTTCCCTGGGCAGCCTGTTCCATTATTTGACAATCCTTTCAGTGAATAAATTTTTCCTAGTATCTAACCTAAACTTCCCCTGGCAACTTGAGGTCATTTTGTCTTGTCACAGAACTACAGAATGGTATGGGTTGGAAGGACTAGATGATCTGGAGATCATCTAGTCCAACCCCCCCTGCCAAAGCAGGTACATCTAAAGCAGGTTGCACAGGATTGCATCCAGGTGGGTTTTGAATATCTCCAGAGAAGGAGACTCTACAACATCTCTGGGCAGCCTGTTCCAGTGCTCTGTCACCCTCACAGTAAAGAAGTTTTCCCTCATCTTCAGATGGAAGTGTTCTATCACTTGTTACTTAGAAGAAGAGACCAACTCCCACCTGGCTACACCCTCCTTTCAGATAGTTCTAGAGAGCGATAAGGTCTCCCCTCAGCCTCCTTTTCTCCAGACTAAACAACCCCAGTTCCCTCAGCTGCTCCTCATAAGACTTCTGCTCCAGACTCTTCACCAGCTTTGTTGCTCTTCTCTGGACACGCTCTAGCACCTCCATGTCCTTCTTGTAGTGAGGGGCCCAAAACTGAACACACCACTCAAGGTGTGGCCTCACCAGTGCACAGAGGCACAATCACTTCCCTACTCCTGCTGGCCACACTACTCCTGATACAGGCCAGGATGCTATCGGTCACCTGGGCACGCTGCTGGTTCATTTTCAGGCGGCTGTCAACCAGCACCCCCAGGTCCTTTTCTGCCAGGCAGCTTTCCACTCCTCCCCAAGTCTGTAGCGTTGTGTGGGGTTGTTGCGACTCAAGTGCAGGATCCAGCATTTGGCCTTGTTGAACCTCATACAA